TTAGTAGGCGGGGGGGGGGCAGGGGAAAATATTTAACTTAGGGTGAGGGCCAGGGAAATTTTTTTGCGAACGGTCCCTACATGTAACAAGCAAGAAGCGTTGAGGATGTTTGTTCACTTCTGACACTTGACCAGAAGTTGAGTAGATATACGACATAGTTCAGCAACTACATTTGTATAATTGACACTCAAATACATTGTACTAGTACTAACATTAGAACTTGAAAGCAGGCCTCTAAAAAAGAGGCAGTTTTAATTTGAACCGCTAGGATTCCCCACTATCACGTGCCGGTGGATATGATTTGATTTTAAAAGGGGACATTATACACAGAATATAATGTCCTTGGTTAAACTAGTAAACATACGTAGACCAGATTCTATTGCTTTCGCCGACGCTATGTTGTTGTTGTTATCCCAAACGCAAACCAGTCCGTATCTTATAATGAAACGTTATATGTGGACGTTGGTGTTGTTGTTGTTGTGGACCTCGACCTATGTTCAGGGTTCAAAGGTTAACCAAAATGGCGGAGGCAGAACGAAAGCCGCGGTCGACGTCGAGGAAAACTAAGGTACGAGTTGATTTTAGGACGGTACAGGTAACACTGACGCTAATTGTGTAGCAGGAACAGGAACAAAGTCATCGTAAGGATCATGCGATGTTTGGTATTTTGCCAGTTTGCAGAGTTATAAAGACTAGACTGTGTATACTTTGTAGTCTGATATATATCCTTCCAAGCTCGAGCTCTACTGTTGATGACACCACTTCCGTGTCATACGTAAGTAAAAATGTCACGTTTGGGCGCTTATACATGTATATTACTCTCCAAGCAGAGGTTGGTGGGGGAAGATCGTCACCGTTTTATATATGCCACCGTGGGGGGCGACAAAAAAAAACGAGGCATATATAAAACGGTGACGATCTTCGCCCACCAACCTCTGCTTGGAGAGTACATGTAACGTTTTGGGGCTTATACATGTATATAACACTCTCCTTCCTCAGCACTGTAACTCCAGTCCGGAAGTGGTCGTAAGCACTGGAATTCCATGTAGAACAAAGCCGTCGAGTAGTATATGTATTTGTCTGTAACGTTAACGTTATATCTAACTTACATGCAGTTTTAGACCTTACGAAAGTAGCTGTGCTTTTTGTTGTGTCAATTAAGTTCTCTGTAACGTTATATTAGATAAGTTTAACACAACGCAACATAATTTGATTTTTCTAGGCCTAAATTGCCTGAATGTTGTGATTTTCTGTTCCCTCAGGCAAAAACTAAAGTGACACCCACAGCACCATCCATACGCGGCACAAGTAAAGATGAATCTGTGGCTAGACAAAGACAGCTGGACAGGTTGTTTATTATGGCTTCACCACACCACTTCGTGGTGTGGTGAAACCATATTGCTTTTTCTGATGTTTCTCCTCCTCCTTCTTCTTCTCCTCCTGCCATATCTTTAAATGGATTCAGCTTCTTCATTTTGGGGCCTAAGGATCTGAAATTTGGTATGGAGGTACAGTGGGCAAATACCCTTAGGCGTTTTTTAAATTTTTGTGATACAGGCTTTTAGAATGGTTTTATTTGAGTTTTTTGGCTGTATTATAGCAAATGTATTACTGTGTCAGTGGGCAGTGTTAACCACATTTGGCATGAGTCATCACAATGGAATGCAGGGCATCAACCAATAGGCATGCAGCTTTCCTCTCTTCTTCTTGCTGATTG